AGGTATACCTTCCTTTTTTTTTCTTAATGAATGGCTTGTGAGACTACACAGCCTCAATTCTGCTAGTGTCCGTTTTCTAGTTACATAAACGTTATGGAGGGTGTGTTAGAATTTTGTTCGGTGACTCAGAGGGAGAATCGAAGAGAATCTTTCATCTACCAATTTCCTGACCTCACTGTAGAGAGGAAAAAAGTTGTGTGTTTCGCTCGCTTCGCTCGTGGTTCAATCTTAGCGTAAGGAAGCGAAGGCGCTTGCTCAGGTTTCAATACAAGCACTCCCGTCAATCAACAACTTTGCAGCCTTGCATGACAAATAACTGTTTGTTATTTCCATTTCTATTTCAATTCCTAGACCTTAGACCGGGTCTATCAACAAAAAGTGCAATCTTATGCCTCAATCATACCGTTAATTACTACACTAGGCGAAAAACTGATGTATTTGCATGTTTTCTCGACCTGTCGAGGGCGTTCGACCTGGTCTCCTACGACATACTATGGAAGAAACTGATGGATGCACATGTCCCTTCCGAAATTATTAATATCTTCAAGTACTGGTACGGAGGCCAGGTAAACAATGCTCGATGGGCAGGATCATTGTCGAAATCATATGCGCTGGAGTGTGGAGTGAGGCAGGGGGGTTTGACCTCGCCCGCACTCTTCAACGTATATGTTAACGTGCTGATCAGCGCGTTCAGCAGTACCCATGTCGGCTGCAACATCGACGGAGTATGCGTCAATAATATCAGCTACGCGGACGACATGGTGCTGCTGAGTCCATCTGCGGTTTGAAAAAACTAGTCAGTATGTGCGAGGAATATGCTAAGGGACATGTTTTGTCATACAATGTCACGAAGAGCGAGGCTATGGTCTCTGAAACCGGCGGTAAAATTCCTAATAACGTACCACCTGTCAAGTTGAATGGTGTGCCCTTGCAAAGGTTATATCAATTTAAATATCTAGGACACATAATTGCAGCCGACCTCAAGGACAATAACGATATTGAGAGGGAAAGGAGTGGACAACACTAACTAGTGGACAAACTAGTGGAGTAATTTCACAAAAAATAATTGAATATCAATTCAATAAAAATTTAATTAATGACTCAGATAGTTTTCGAGTCCAAACGTGATATTCGATTTGCACTGACATCAACCCACTGATAAACCTAAAGACGATTAATAGTATGATCATTTACTGATTTAGGACAACAGTTTTGGGAAGAAACAGTTTGGCTAAATATAAGGGGAACGTGGGGTATTGGGAGCCCGCGGGTAATGCGAGCGGTGTTAAACCGGACTTTCCCAATGCTCGTATTTGTGCAAACGGCACTCCTACGTCTTCGTTAACGTTCGACAAGGTTCGAGTCCCGTGGGCGCCCACGTAGAACCCCGAGTTTAGTCGTATGAGATGGTTGTGTGTTTTCCGCTCCGCGTAAAGTAAGCACTAAAATGCATAGATAGTACATTGTATTTACACTAGCTATGTCACCATGTCTATCAAATTTTAATAGTTATGCTTGAAATCACAATAAAAATAGAAATGTTTTTATCGTTTTATTCCTTTTTCAATTCGATGTTACGCGGGTAATGAGAGCTATTTGGCTCTCCTTATCCCATTGCAATATTCACTGGATATTCCTTTAACTCTTTCTTGTTTATTATCATTACTTTTTAACTTATATATTTTATTACTTTATATTTCAGACTGATTAAATATAGTTGCTCCCATTTGACATACGGTATTGAGAGCGAATGACATGTTTTAGTTTTTTCTTTTTTAACCAAATATTTTATTTTATTTTCATATTTTTTCTGTGATTATCTATTACCCAGATATGTGAAGCGTATGTATGTTCATAACTAATAAAAATTTAAATTGCATAAACTCTGACTTTTAATCAATGTTATTTATTTTTTATCAATTTAACAATTTTCCTTAGTAGGTTCCCATTCCCCCACGGTCCCCTACTGCTCAAAACAATTAGGGGACAAAACTTTAATTTGCTTAAGCTTTTAATTATAACTGGCTACTAAATAATGTAGAGGCATTGTCGAAGAAATTAAAAAACAAAAGAACATCTGCGGTTTTGTTAGTAGTTCTCAATAAAGTGGCCAAGCGTCTATAAACACCTCAAAACAAAGTCATAAAGTGAGGGAAGCGACTGAAAGATTCACATAAAATACAATTTTGCACAAAGAGTCAAAAATATAAAATTACAATTCAGAGACAGTCTGGTAACCTTGTGCATTCTAATATAAATTTAATGTTCAGGAGCGGAAGAAGAAAACGAGTTGATTTTTCAATTGAAGGACTACGGCCTTGTATGTAATACTACGGAATCGCGTCAGAAACTAACTATGTCTTAATGGTTAAAGTTTTAGATGCTTTTAAAGATTTAAAATTTTGGTAAGTTACGTTTTTAAGCATGGTTGATTACAGTCTGAACACTTTCCTTAGAGGATACAAGAGTTGATAAGAGTTAGATCTTCCGAAGTACACTGTAGTTCACAGTTCTCATATTCAATTCTCCTAATTCGTCAAGAACATAGTTTACCTCCATAAAAATTTAATGGTATATTCACAGATATATATCTAAATCATCGAGTATATAACCAGAAATAGAGACGAAATGAAGGCCATATATTCCTGGTAATACATTAGCGATACAGCTCTTATATGTAAATATCAACTCTCGTTTGCACTGAAATATAGACAGGCCAACTACTGACCTGTGCATACGTCTCCGTATATTCCAAAAAATATTCTGTATTTATTGTAATAAAGATAATATCTCTAACAATGCCGTGCTGTTCTATTCGGTGGTGTGGGAAAAACAGACGGAATCACGTTTCATCGGTTATTAAATATTAAATATTTCGTATGTATGTATTCATTCTTTGCCGCAACGGTAATCTGGTAGATCAGTCTTTGTACTCCTATAAACAAGTTTCATTATAGTGTAAATATTGCAAATTTGTTCTTAAATTTGTAACGTAATCTATTACAACTTTCCAAATTATCAAATTATTATTTTGTAGTGCATTACAGTGTGTTTTTATATCGAATTTAAGCAAATAAGTGTTAAAGGTCTTAGTGCGTAACTACCTGCGAATATTTTGTGTGTTCGCGCCCCGCGAGTGAATTTCACCGTTCCGCCGCTATTGCGCGCGCAGCCTAAGTGTGATAATTACGTGCGTAACTCAATCTCGCGTCATCGTCTTGTGCGCTACGTCAGCGAACAAAGAGTAAAACTACGCAGTAGTGTCACCTACACTAAAATACTCAGAAACGTCTCTCAGGGGAATTGTAAAGAAAAAACAGTTTCAAATTTTCGATCTTTGTATTAATAATTATATATATATAACAAACTAGTGGAGTGGTTGCACAAAATTAATTGAATATAAATTCAATAAAATTTAAATACCGTACTCACAAAATTTACATTAAAAACAATGAATTGTTTAGCCTGTAACAATAAAATAAACCGAGGAGAGGTATTAGCCTGTGCTACCTGTAAGGGATGCTATCATTATAAGTGTATAAATATGACGTTGAACACCTATACTGCCAATAAACATAACTGGCTATGCCCTTCTTGTGTAATGGCTACAAGACGTGTTCAAGGCGATGTGACACCAACCCGTAGACAGTTCGAGCAGTTCCCAGTCGAGGCTGACATATCTTGCGACAACTTAGCTTCCGGCTGCATCGCCACTAATGATGGTGACGAATCGAAAAGCACCCGTGAAGTAAATATTTCTCAAGTTTTAAAGGAGCTGCGAGCATTCAGGAACGATTTTGTTGGCATGAGGTCAGATATTCAAAGAGTGACTGATAACATTCAGGAAATTAATAAAAACATTAGTTAAATGGAATCTCGATTCAGTGACATTGAGGATAGGTTAATAATAAATGAAAACAAAACGGCGTTGATTCCTAAATTAAAACAAGACCTAGACTCAGCTAAAGAATCGATATCGTCATTAGAAAATGAGTTACAGCAACGGGACCAACTAGCTAGGATGAACAACGTCGAGGTATCCGAGATACCTATTGCTGCTGGTGAGAACCTCTCAACGCTAATACGGGCCATATCTAATAAGGTTGGTTACTCACTAGACGACCGTGACATCGATGGTGTCACGCGTGTACGGAGGTTCGAAGCGAGAAGTGTGTCTGCCAGAATCAAGCGTCTCTCGTCCGCCATATCATTGTAAAATTCGCTCGGCGGCTGTGTAAGGATAAATTCCTAGCAGCAGTGCGCTTGTGACGCGGCCTAACTACTGCCGATGTCGATCTTTCGGGTCCCTCTCTAAACGTATATGTGTCGGATCACCTCACTCCTTGAAACATACAATTATTAAAGCGTGCCAAACAGATCAAAACTGACTTGAATTATTCTTATTTATGGGATAGAGGCTGTAAGATATTGATGCGCAAAAACGAAAGGTCAAAGGTTGTCGGCATCATTCCTGATGACGACAACCTTTGATCTAAGTTAAAATGACTTCTAAACGATTTTTTTATATTTTTAATCATTTAACAGTGGCTTTTTAATTTTTTTACCAATGTACATGGATCTATACGTTCCTTTCTTATTGCAATTATGTGTTTTAACTGTATCTGTTATTCTACGTTAAGTGATGTGGTAACTATTTTTTCTGTTTGTGTACAATGCACTTTTTCTAAAACATTTACATTTAATCCTAATTAAGATAACTGCAGCCGAAAGTTCGAAAAAAAACCAAAACTTTTATAACTAATTTAATTTTTAAGAAATAAAATTACAATATTAATTTGTAAGGATAGGTGATAATTGTACGAAGGTTGAACCAAAAGTGACTTGACTGAGAAATTACGTTGTTCCGGTAAAACGCGACACGTGTGCTGATCCAGCGCCTCGTGATCGGTGCATTTGCTGTGCCTTCGTTCTGTAGAACTGTGGAGTCGGCGGCTTCCTTTGTACTGCGATATCTAACTCCTCCACCCTCAGATGAGCAATTATTTTCTAACGTTGAGTGAAAATATTGCTGGTAGGCCTTCTATATGATTTTCAGCTTTTTCAGGGTCTTCGAGAGTCTGATTGAATGTTGGTTTGGCTTCTTGGGCGTTTCGAAGTTTGCAGTTCCATAAGTTGCGTCTTCGGCTTCTAATGGCTATAACGAGTGCGCATGCACCTGTTATTATCACGTATAGGGGTATCGTTGTGTGATATAGGACATTGGTTTCATTTGTATCGAGTGTTAAGGGAGGCTCGACTAAAAGTTTGCTCTGGACGTTGTGTAGTCCTTTCAAATCAATAGATTTCAGGTGTACGTGGCTTGGGGTTGCAACTTGTTTCATTACGTCATATGGGATTTTAGTGAGCTTCAGAGGATGACCTTTTATTTCGTCCTTGTCATTCGTAATGGTGAACTCTGCGGTCCGTAGATAGCAATTGAGGGGAATAGTCACTAGGTAACTCCCTTGCAGTAAATTGTAATCTTCTCTTTCGCATGTTAATTGAACTCTCGTCGGCTGAGGGAATGAGACGACGTAGTGCTGATCATCGAGCTGTTCCATTGCTGGCTTTTGTAGTAGTACTGTTGTTACTTGGCAGGATTCCTGTAAGTCTTGGTTTATTATTAGTTGGTGTACGCAGTCTGGGGTAGCCCGGAGTTGAAGGTTGGTTCCTTTGTTGCAGAGGTAACTGTGACTGAACTTCGGGCATTCTGCCTCCATGTACACGAATACGTTCTCATGAGTTGCTATGAAAGGGTAAGAAGGGATAAGGGCTTGCCTATCTTTATTAGGTACTACAGATAATCTAAAAAGGTCGTATACGTCTACTGAAACTATGGGAAATTGAAAAGTTATAATTATTTGTTTGTCTACATAGTAAAAACCTGGTCGTATTATATCATAATATTCTCTAAGTTCTAATCCTAAAATTCTATCTCTTCCATATATTAATTTTAACTTATCTATCATATTCCTAAGGACATTAATATCTAACATAGAATGGTGCGTGCTCGCAGCACGTATAAAAGATAAACAGTTTTCTATTCTAATTAGTTCGTATTTTAAGTCTTCTACATTTTCACTCAAAATTGCCAAAATCTGGGAAAATTTTGCGATTTGAATTAAACTCTTTTCTTTATCGGCATTTACATCTAGTAGTATTTCTAACGTTGTATTAATTTTACTCTGATTTTCAACCAATGTGTCCAAAACTTTACTATGGTGACTTATCCAATCTTTATTAAGACTCACATGACTATTTAATTCAGACACTACCTTATTTTGGTTAATCTGTAATTCTTTAATAAGATTGTTATAATGAACGGCGTCTGATTGATCGAGGTTCCCGGTTATACTTTTGATTACCGAGCCAAGACCATCTACAAGACCTCTTTTAGCTCTAACGGGCTCTAACGATTTTAATTGATTTGATGTTTTATCTAAATTACCTAGGAGATAATCAATCTGGTTTTCGAATAAAAGGAAGGTGTCATTATTTAGTCGTATCTCGTACGTATGTAATTGTCTTTTCAAAGAGTCAATTTTGTCTTCAATATAGTCAAGTTTAATGTACTGTAGGTAGGTGTGGTGATGGGTAATGAGTCGCATTGGTCCAAGTTTGTATGGCAGTAATCCAGGTCCGTCGGCTAAGCTCTCAAGTTTTATCTCCAGGGCGTGCGTCAGGGGGATCATCAGTGATAAAAGAGTCCTGTAACAATTGAGTACCTTTAGGAACGCGTTTCAGTCGCGATTTAGCTACTGGCCCACGTTTCTTTGAGGTATATATATGTATGGGAAGGTCCGCAAGGACAACATCCTGCGTGTAACGCGGAGCGATTTTCTGTCGGCTGGCTAAAGGATTTTTAATGAATACCTGTTGTTGCGGGGAGTATTCAACTTCGGGTTCTCGATATTTATTCCTGTTCTCTATTATAGTGGTACGGTTAGCAAGAGATGTCTCATTTATAATATCATAGACCTTTTTCATTAATTCGCTATGGTTTTGAACGTATTGTTGCAGTAGTCGTTCTGTGATGTCAGTATCGATCGGGTTTCGTGGGTCGAAATGTCCTGTCATTAGGTCAAAGGGTCGGCATTTTGTAAAGCTATGGATAGAACTATTATATGCTATTAGGGCATAGGGTATGAGATTAACGATTGGTTCATCTTTTTGCTTTAATTTAAGGATACGGAGGTGTTCTAGTAGCGTGGAGTGAAAGCGTTCTATGATGCCATTATCATTAGGGGAATGTGCCAGAATTCTATGGTGGTTTATCTTATGAAATTTTGTAAATTCGACAAAGAGCTGGTTGGTAAATTCAGTACCATTATCGGTTATTATAGTAATAGGGACTCCATGATGGTGCAATACTGCAATAAAGCTTGGATGACACTAACGGCAGTTCCATCGCGTAGGTGGTATGCTTGACCATATTTCGTAAAGACATCCATGAAAGTGACATATTTCTCGTTTTGTACTGTGAATAAGTCCATGTGGACTGTCTCAAAAGGTTTCATGGCTGGGGGTACAATGTTAAATTTTGGCTTGATAGGGTTTCTATCGTATTTCGCCTGCCCACAAGTGGTACAGTCGTTTATAAATTTTGTTACGTGTTCCTTCATTTTTGGCCAGTAAAATCTGCGTGAAAGGGCAAGATAGCATTCGGTAATACCACGATGGTTGGTCTTACCGTCATGGTAATTGTGGATTATTTCCTGTTGGCGAAGATAATCTTTAACATTTTCCAATTCTACTTTACTTAACATGAGGTACATGGCGGAACTTCTAAATTGATTCTGAATAATGGGGATGATTTCATACATACCCAGAGGGGGTTGTATAAGAATGCCAGTTTTAACTTTTGGATTAACGTATTCTTTAACGGCATTAATTACGTCTTGTTCTAAGTTTGATTTAGAAAGTTGTATTGCTATACGAGTATGGGTGTCGAATGGCTTAGTTACGATCGGCTTTCTTTTTACATCATCTACTATGGTAAAAATAATTTGTCTATGAAATCTGTTAATAGGGTCGTCTGTAATGGGAACTTCTAAAATTGGGTGCTCTGCACTTGTATGTGCCGTCGCTGTGGTCGAAATGACTTTAGAGTGAGGTCCTTCTGAAGCATTGGGTAAAATTGAGCAGAGCTCGTCTACTATGGACTCAACTTCTTCATTGTGTATTTCTACCCTGGAAAGAGCGTCAGCATTCGTGTTGGATTTTCCTTTCTTATATATCACTGTAAAGTCATATTCACTAAGTCTCAGTCGCCATCTTGTCAGTCGTGAGTTAGGTTCTTTTAAATTTACCATCCACTGTAAAGGTTTATGGTCAGTCAAAACTTTGAATTTTCGTCCGAAAAGGTAAGGTCTGAAATATTTTGTGGCCCACACTATGGCAAGTAACTCTTTCTCTATTGTGCTGTAATTTTGTTCACTGTCGTTAAGGGTGCGAGATGCGTAACATACTGGTCTGTCAGATCCAATAGGGCCTTGGGAAAGTATTCCAGCTATTGCTACGTTTGATGCGTCGGTTGTCAAAATAAATTCTCTAGAGAAGTCAGGGTACTGTAAGACGGGGTCATTTGAAAGAAGCGTTTTACATTTTTCAAAACAGTTTGTATAATCGGGATCAAGGGTGATTTTCTTTCCTTTTTTCAGACAAGATGTAAGGGGTTTTGTAATACGGGCAAAATCTGGGATAAATTTTCGGTAATAACCGAGAAGGCCTAAGAACTGTTTTATTTCTTTGGGAGTTCTAGGGATAGGATATTTTTGTATGGCTGAAATTTTATCAGGGTTCGGTTTGATACCATCTTCACTGATAATATGACCCAGGTAGGCTGTTTCTTTTTTTAAAAATTCGGATTTGTCCATTTGGATTTTGAAGTTAGACTCTCTAAGTCTAAGAAAAACTTTTTCAAGGTTGGTCATATGCTCCTGAAGGGATGTGCTGAACACTATTATATCGTCTAGGTACACAAGACAAATATCATTCTGAAGACCACGGAGGACATTGTCCATCACGCGCTGAAAAGTGGAGGGCGAGTTTTTTAGACCCATGGGCATTCGTAGGAACTCGAAATGTCCATGTTCTACGTTAAACGCTGTCTTAGAAATGTCCTGTGGGTCCATTTCGACTTGGTAGAACCCACTCGCTAAATCTAGAGTAGTAAAATAGTGGCATCTTCCTAACTTGTCAAGTACGTCGGTAATGTTCGGTATCGGGTATTTGTCGTCAATAGTTTTGTCATTTAACTTCCGAAAATCGACTACAAGGCGCCACTTCTGCTTACCAGAAGCGTCTGCCTTCTTGGGTACTACCCATATAGGAGAGCTCCAGGCAGAGTCGGAGGGTTGTATAATGCCTTGTTCCAACATCTTAGCTATCTGGTCTCTAACTTCTTGTCTGTGCACGAAAGGGTAGCGGTAACTCTTTGTGTAGATTGGTTGTTCGTCAGTCGTCCTAATACGATGTTTAATCTTGTTGGTAAAGGTCAGAGGTTCTCCTTCAATGTAAAATACGTCGGAATAACGTGAACAAAGTAAATTCAAATTAGCTGTCTCCTCGTCATTTAAGTGGTCGGTACGTAGTCGAGTTACGACGTCTTGTGCGCGTTCCGAAGTCTGTTCGGTACGCGTGCACTCAATATTAAAAATGTCAGCCTGCGCTGGTCGGTCGAGTGAGAATATTACGTCATTTGGGGAACTATTTTCAACTTCCAAGTAGCCTTTATTATTTTTGACAATTGTTAGGCACTCGTGGATCATACAATTACTAATTATTTGCTCTTTTACTAAAACTTCGCCGTCGGAGGCATTATTAGGGATTCTAATTATTTTTGATGTACCGGCCGGGATCATTTCCTCATAGTAATTTACATTACAAGAGTTATACATGCGGATAGGGTTACTAGAGGATTGCGTTAAAAGAATTTTATTTTTTAAATTAATTTTTGCCTCCCATTTTGTGAGTAAATCTAGACCTATAAGGCCGTCAAAGTAATTATGGAAGCGGTAAATGAACAACTTTATGTCATCTTTGTCATTGAATTCGGAAAAGGAGGGTAAAGTTATTGAGTAATCGTTCTTACTTATTGCATGCACATTAGTAACTTCGAAAGGGTCATAGTTGATAGGGAAATGAGCAAAATATCGTTCTACTGCTTCGGGACTAATAAATGATTGATTAGCACCGGTGTCTATCAAAAATTTAAGAGGAGGATTCGTAATTTGGATATATGGCAACTGTCTTTGTGACTGTAGATTTAGTTCTATTTTGTCTTTTGTAACTTCCGGTCTAACCGAAAATTTGGGTCAGTGCTAGTGCTGGGTTCAGCTTGACATTCATAACCATCAGTCAGCTGGTACCTATCAGTCAGTTCCGAGTACTGGTCGGCGCTATCGTATTGAATACTATGTTCGTGTTCCGCGTAACCTGTAACATAATCTTCACAGTCGGCATAGCCCGTGCCGTGATAGTATTCCGGCTCTGTATAGTAGCCGCTGTAATAAGAGTCAACTGTGTAGGGTGCACATTCATTTACATGCATTTCATGGGACTTGTTGAAACGATCATGGCCTAATGGAGGTAAAATTTTTGGAGTAAATGCCTGTACTCCACTCATGGGTTTATGGGTACCGTATGGAAGGTTGTGTCTGGGTGGCAAAAGGAATACGTAATTCGGTGGAAGTGCACGGAACATTTGCTGGGTTCTGGAGGGCATACGATTGTGTGCCTGTGGTTGCATATTATTGAATTTAAACGGTTGAGGGGGTTGATGCGGAGGCCGCTGTCCAAGAGGAGATGGCCAATTTGGAGTCTGAGGTTGGTAACTCGGACGAGGTGGGAGATATCCTAGATTAGGTGAAGGCATGGTCACTTTAAAGTTTTGTGAAGAAACCTTATTAGAATCTCGTTGTTGCAAATAAATAACATTCATTTCTTCTTGAACGTACTCAAGTGCCTTTTCTATGGTGTCGGGGCGCATACATCTCACACGCGACCCTAAGGGCTCTTTTAAGCCTCGCACAAAGGCCTGCATAGCTACTTTTTTATAAAGGGACCTTTTAGCTTCTATAGTAGTACTAATATTCTCATGCAGGGACACATACGTCATTATGGTATTTAGTAACGTCTGACAGTGGTCGTAAAAGTCCTGAGGGGACCTGTTACCCTGTGTGGCTAACGAGTGGTCATTGTATAGGGTAGTCTCGTCACATTGGTCAGAAAAATTATTAATTAGAGCAGTTCTAATGCCCACCCAACTATCGGGTATGCCATTAGAGTTTATAGTACATGAGGCTGTGCCTGTGATCTTATTTAAGATTCCGTTTAACAGGCATAAATTGGATAATTCACTCCCTGGGGTATTGCTCATATATGTATGGACAATTTGGTCGCATAATCGAATGAATCGTGTAAGTATATTAGGGTTACCATCGAAGTCCGGGACTAGGCGCAGAGCCTTATAAATTGAGTCCGGTTCGTGGGCCATTGTCCTTTCTTCAAATAAATTGTCTAAATTAAAATTAAAATCTAAATCTCTAAATGAATCTATCTCTATCCGGCGAGCCTGGCGCGATGCAGGTTTCCGGGGTCCCGAATTTCTGGGATGAAAAATTTTGGAAGGATTTTAAGTTAGGGACTAAGGAAGCAAGCAACACAAGAACCAGCAGCGGTGCTTGATAGCTACCCGGGGAAGTCGCGAACGTGGTGCAGAGTTTGATGCGCGCTCGCGAACCGGCCCGCGAGAATCCTACCGACTGCGCCAATTAAGATAACTGCAGCCGAAAGTTCGAAAAAAAACCAAAACTTTTATAACTAATTTAATTTTTAAGAAATAAAATTACAATATTAATTTGTAAGGATAGGTGATAATTGTACGAAGGTTGAACCAAAAGTGACTTGACTGAGAAATTACGTTGTTCCGGTAAAACGCGACACGTGTGCTGATCCAGCGCCTCGTGATCGGTGCATTTGCTGTGCCTTCGTTCTGTAGAACTGTGGAGTCGGCGGCTTCCTTTGTACTGCGATATCTAACTTCCTATTACGAAATTACTTCTACAATACATAAATAAAATTGCATATTATAATTTAATTACTTTTAATTACTTAATGAATTTTAATGGTCACATGGCGAATAATAAATACGTGTTTACATTAATTAACTATTATACAGTGTCCGGGTCCGCCAGAGGTGCCCGTGAAGACGTATCACTGGCGGAGGGCTTGGCCCGGACGCCCGCTGTAACCTGGTCTTGCCGAGGAGCCCGTAAACTTCCCGGAATCCCCTATCTCTCTGGGGTCAGTAGATAGGGACAACGCACACCCGGACCGTTACTTCAGTTGTTCCAAGCACATGTTCGATCGTGTATGGAATACTGTTGCCATCTATGAGATGTTTCTGCTAAATACCAACTGGCTACCTTGGATCTAGTGTGAAGTGTGTGACTGAGTGAAGGGGCTTGTGGGTGACACGGATTTAGTAGATGCGAAGCTGCAGATCCTTGACCACCGCTGTAAAGTAGCCTGCTGATCGATTTTCTACAGGATATATCACGAAGAGTATCTGACGAAATTGCAAAATTTTATTATTTTTATAAAAACTACAGCCAAATTTATTGCAACACCACTAACTATAATCTTTAATAAATGCCTGTCTGAAGGTACTTTTCCAATTAGATGGAAGACTGCTAACATAGTTCCTGTCTATAAGAATGGTCCTAAACAAAACATTGAGAACTATAGACCAATATCAATTCTTTGTATATTGGCCAAATTATTTGAAAAACTAGTGCATAATGAACTGTACCCGGTCTTGAGTTCCCCTATAATACCCGAACAGCACGGTTTCGTTAAGCGTAGATCGACGGTATCTAATTTATTATTATTCACTGGTTTTGTTTTTGAAAATATGGACAACGGCATCCAAATAGACGCCGTACATACAGATTTCCAAAAGGCATTTGACAAAGTTGATCACAAATTACTACTTGATAAGATTGCCTTCAATGGTATTCGAGGGAATCTCCTCCGTTGGTTCTCATCTTACGTTTGTAACAGGTCACAAAGAGTCATTGTTAATGGATATCATTCAGACCTAATCGATGTGTCATCAGGTGTACCTCAGGGATCTATTTTAGGCCCGCTGCTGTTTATTATATTTATAAATGATATTAAAATCTGTTTTAAGAACACAAATTTTCTTTTATATGCTGATGATCTAAAAATTTATAGAAGCATTTCTAGTGATATTGATTGTACTTTACTTCAGAATGATTTAGATCATTTAACTCATTATTGTAGTATAAATAAACTCAAGCTAAGTATCCCTAAATGTAACAGTATTAGTTTTACGAAAAGGAAGAAAAAAATTAAATATAATTACAAACTTTGCAATAACTCATTAACAGTAGTGGATTCCCTGCGAGACCTGGGAGTAATATTAGATAATAAATTACATCTCGATCTACACATTGACTCCATCGTTGCCAAAGGGTTTCGAATGTATAAATTCGTCATGAGAACTGCTACCGACTTCTCTCGTCTATCAACTTATCTTTACTTATACATTAGTCTAATTCGACCTCAAGTGGAATATGCGTGCTCAATTTGGAACCCTTACTATAAAAAATACTCAGAACAAATTGAAAAAATTCAAGCTAAATTCCTTAAGTCGATAAATTATAAAATATTTAGAAAAATTACGTCATACGAGGGTTTACTATCTAAGTTTGGAATGCTAACACTTCACAATAGACGAATGCTTCTTCAATCTGTAATACTCCATAGACTTTGTCACAATTTAATTGATTGCCCGGATCTTGTGCAACATATTAGATATAATGTACCAATGAGAGTTTATCGACGGCGAGTGCGCTCCTACTCGTTGTTTAAAACGGCGACCTGCAGAACAAATGCTGGCAAGCGAGTTCCTCTACGTCGTATTCTTTCTCATTACAATTATTTGTTTAGCAATATTGACATATTCCATTTGCCTGCTTCTAAATTTAAAAAAGCTATTATTGATGCCCTGAGCTAATTTCTTATTTACCTTTTATTTATTTTAGTTTATTTAGCACTACCCATCACACACGACAATTTTAATTTTAATTCTAATAGTAACTTGTGGATAATGCTGTTGATTGTACGTGTACCTATGTTAGAAATATTTAACTCTGATTGTAAACATTTCATGTACAATTGTTTGTTATCCCTGAAAAATAAATAAATAAATAAATAAATAAATTCCGCCTCTATGTAATATCTACGCCTCTGTTTTAGGTGTGAAAGATTCGAAGAAACTACCCAAAGCAACAACAAACGAAAAGTTTTGGAATCAGTTTTGGATATGCTAATTGCAGATCCTGACGATCTCGTACCGTTAACATCGACCCTCTGTACCCTTTGTTAAGTAATGTTGATAATTTGTACTAACAAGAATGTTCAAAAACTTAGAATAATAACGCATAGAATGATAGTTTCATATCAAACGAACTGTCACAAGTGAGGCAAAAATCAAATTCATGTAGGCTAGTTTCAGTAGTAGGTTAATTTTCGGTTTCGGTGAATATTTATATAAAAATACAAGTTGAAACGCGTTACTTCCTTGTGGAACGTGATGTTAGTATCTATTTTATGTTTGTCTGACGTATTTCTACACTCATTTACCGCACATTTCTTAATTTTTAGCTTAAATTCTGGAGCTGTTCGCGGTGCAAGTTTGTAATGGTCATCTCCAGTCGGTTTGAGTGAGCATGAGACTGGTTGGTGGGTGTGAGTTCTGGTTGACCCGATGCTGCGTGTAAAATTTATAAGCGAGGAGAAAGAAGGGCGCCTTACACACAACGAAAACAAGTTTCAAGTAGAAATAACCAGATGCTTTATTTTTAAATTTACTATGGTTACATGTTACAGTTAAATTTAATAGGAGTGTATAGATATGCTTACTGTTCTTATCAGTTACATAGAAAAGTTTAATTTTAAATATACTTAAAGCTAATACACTGCACTAAGAGTTTATGAAAGTACATGAGTGACACATGGACACTTCACTTATACGTCACTGACCTGGAGTTTACCGGATGCACATTTAAGTTATATACCAGATCCGTTGCGAAGACAGCGTAGTTGCTACAGGAGTAACGAAGTTATACGTAGGTGCCGACCACCCGTGGAGCTCATGACACGTGGTCGGGCATAGCCGAACAAAAGTTACAGCAGTATTGTCTCAGCCATTCAGTTGATGACGAGATTTGAAATTACAAGTACCAAAGATAGACGTAAAAAAAAACCCTGCAACAATACAGATTGTTACAGTACATTGATATAAATGACGAAGCATCTAATAAAGGAAAGAATCCAGAGGTCAACTCACCATGCGGTCCGGTGACACGGGTTTTACTTTTGGTACAGGGTTTGGAGACCCATAATTACGGCCTCTGGCTATTCCTAGTTTATTTTATTTAAGAAGGCATTGGGGGACCATGCCCCCAATGGGATAAATCACCGTAGACGATCTAGGAAATCTGGAACACCTTGCGCACCGACGTGTCGAACAGAAAAGATGAGCTTCCGCCGAATTCCTCCTAAGAGATGTTACCCGCGAACAACGCCACAGACAATCTATCGAATCATCTAGCTACAGCTACCAAGTCGTATCACCTAAACCCGCAAGAATACATGGCGATTCCAGGTTTACGTATCTTACTTTACAGAAAGTACTTGGCAAACTATTTGACGGCGTTCGACGTGGAAATATTAAAGAAAAGCTATAATTTACATGAAGCTCGACTACAGAAATAAAATCGAGTTTATTGGTACGCAGCACTAGTGTTCTGTGATACCATACAAGAAAAATTAGCCAGGGTTGGTGTTTTCAAAAATATGTCAAACTAAAGGGTACCCATTCACGCTATTGATTTTATAGAAAAATCGTTCACCAACAGGTAATAAATATGTGAATGGTTTAAAGAATAGATTACACCAACACTTAAGTTTCAACTAATTTAGTAAATATTTTTAGACTATAACGTCAAAGTGACATTTTGTACAAGAATGGTGAAAAACACCAAGGAGAGAAGATAAATTTGGTTTGGTTTTGTATTCAGGAGATCTACGAAAAAAAATTGAGACCTGACCTTGAGCACTGAAGGCCCGCCCACTCGTGTAGGCCCTTTTGGCGCGCTTCAATTAGCCTCACTTATCGTGTGCGGACTAGGTTTCTATGCGTTATTATTCTAAGTTCAAAAACACCATAACTTGTATCAATACATACAACGCATCAGTAGGATTAATAGAAGTCATTATTCCCTTGTATGTTTTTAAATTATATTTTAACTGATTACTTTCAGCCCATAAAATCGTTATACGGAGAATTCGATTGCTTTTTAGTCTATTACGAACATTGACTTACAATTATATGGACGTCGGGTCCGCGCGAAAAAGTGTCCGAACTTATAGGGCGTTAAAATCGTATACAGAGCGTCATTCACGCTTTAGTCTTCGTTTGTTCGACTGACAGCGAAGCAAGCAAAATTA